GGGGGAGGGGGGGGGGGGGGGGGGAGAAAGAGAATTGCTGTGGCAAATGCACATGCTGTTGCTGATTTCATCAGGGTATTATTGAATTTGCTGAAGCTATTGGTTGCGGTCGCAGTTGGATAAATGAAACATACAATCGTGGGGTTAGGTGAGTCCAAATAAGAATATTTTAAGCAGAAAAAGTGAACTAGTTCAAGTTAAGAAGAAGAGGAGGTAAATGAGAACTTTTTAAAATATTAGCAAAGAGCAAAATTTCACAAATGTTATTTAGCTGGGTTTGCAAATGATTAGGTACCTGTATAGCATATCCGGAAATTTTTTTGAAAGAAATTTCGACTACGAAAAATTGATTGACTGAAATTAGAACGAACGGAAATGTGGTCGAATCTTTTTTCAGTTCACACGTTAAAATTTTGCTTCAAATTTCTTTTTGAACGCATTATTTGGTTTTACTATATAGTACAGTGGGTTCAAAAAGAAATTTGATGAAAATTTTAACATGTGAACTGAAAAAAAAGATTCGACAAAAGTTCCGTTCGATCAAATTTCCGTCTACAAAATTTCTTTCAAACAAATTTCCGGTAACCCCTGTATAATGGTACATTATAATTTGATAATAGATACATTTAATCATAGTTTTGCATTCTATTAAATTTTAATTGGGTTTGTCGATTGGTTCAAAATGTCTTTGTAAACTATGCAGTTAATAAAATTATTTTTTTAAAATTTATTTAAATTTATCGGTAGACTTTTTTTCGTTTTTCTCTGTTTTTTTTAACTTTAAATTTAAGAATTTAGGAGCTGGAATGATCAATGCATTGATCGTGGGACCTCAAAGTACAGAAGAAGATTTACCCTAAGCCTTAAGTCTTAGAGGTTTCAAAGTTTCTGTGCTTATTTCTTATATGTATATATCTTCAAAAAAAAGGAGCGTTTTATGAAATAAATTCATTAAAAACCAATTTAAAAAAAAAAAAAGCTAATAAATGAGAGAACTTCAACTTCATAAATAATAAATGCAACAGAAGCAGATCTAATGTCCCGTGTTCAGCCATTATGACAGCTTGTGTGCTAAGAATAGAGGTTTCAAAGTTTCTGTGCTTATTTCTTATATGTATATATCTTCAAAAAAAAGGAGCGTTTTATGAAATAAATTCATTAAAAACCAATTTAAAAAAAAAAAAAGCTGATGAATGAGAGAACTTCAACTTCATAAATAATGAATGCAACAGAAGCAGATCTAATGTCCCGTGTTCAGCCATTATGACAGCTTGTGGGCTAAGAATAATTTTTAACTGTACATACAATATTCACATTAATAACAAAAATTATTTTTTGAAAAACCTAATTCGCTACATAAGGTCCATTTGCCATACGTGTCGGTTTGCAACAGGGTTAATGCATGAAACCCCCACCCCCCCCCCTTTGTCACCAGGTCCTCCATACCCAGCTTATCTGTCACTGACTACACTCATACTGCCAGCCTGGATCGGTATCGGATAGCTATGTCATGAAAGGTTGTTTTGTTTTGTTGTTTTTTTTAAATTTTTAGCAAGCCAACATTATAGAATTTTATCCTTTTTTATTATGCCGATCTCAAGACATGACAATATTCAGACTAAGAATATTTGAAGCAACCATTAAAAACTTGGAATTTGAGTTGGACGCATCCAATCAAATGCACTTGATATTGATGTTTAGGTCCTGATTAGAGCTAAGGATGGGAAAATATCCCCCCCCCCCCCCCCCCCTATTTTTTTTTTGTAATTGATAATTGCTATAATTTTACAATTTTAATGGACAATAAAACAAAAAAGATAAATTTAAAAAAAATTGAAATCAGTGAAGGAAATAATTTAATGATATGCCAAATGGAGCATTGAACTGAGAAAAAAAAAATCAGCATACATCACATAATTAGTTTCCTTTCCAACATGATCAATGTGAACATTTGCAACCATCCAACAATCCAAAAGTTTTTATTTGTCTAGTCATCAAGTGGTATTAGCACACAAGGTAGGCATTTTCACAACACTTTGCTTATTTAATCAATTTTTATTTACACTAGGATTTTTCAAATCAACAAGCACATGTTATGCACAGAGAGAACAGACATTCAAATGAATCAGCACATGTTGTACAAACACAAAAAATTGACGGGTTTTTCTTCCCAATTAGTGGGATGAGTGGATTTGATGTTCATTTTCATTTACAAAAATGGACATACATTTTTTTTTAAAGAAAGAAGACATACAGTTTCACATAGGCACATTAGCTTTAAATTTAAGACCCATCCTAAGCACATGTTATTCCTGTTCTAATAGTTTATTAAACAAAAGGAAATTGGGAGTGATAAGAAAGCAGCGGTTCTAAATTTAACTTCAGAATGCCAGTTTTGTTTTGTGTTCATTAGGAGACTGGATTTAAATGCAAAATATATAAATTTACTGGCTGCATCTAAATCTGAGTTTTATCACCAAGAGAAGTGAAGCTTATAAAGGCTTTAAACCATAACAATATATCCATTTCCAAATATAGGTATGAATGACATGTGACTTTAATAATATATTATCTCTATACAGACAAAATGGGTCTCACATCCAAGGTGTTGACAACGCAGACAAAAAAAAAAATTCGCTTCCCTGTAGTTATTTTCAACTGCTTCCGTGAACACATGAGAAGAAACTTAAGTATAGTGAGATTTGTTTTCAATTGAAAAGCCGACCAAAAAACATGATAAGCACATATATAGGTAAGGATATTTAAATATGTTTATATATATATATATGTGTAAGCTTATTCTAGACAATAGCAAGCAAACTAGAAGATCCCAATGAAAGACAATTTTTAACATTGATGAATAATTACAAGAGTCAGACAACATCAGGAACCAAATACAAAAGATAATCCATGATAAATGACCTGCAGCAGATAATCCGTGAGACAATCCAACACAGATTATCTGTGATGGGTGCCCTGCAGCAGAATATCGGTGGTTAAATATTCCAGTTAAGAGATGTTAAGAGCAATTAACACTCTTCATTTTAAATTACCACCCCAGATGTTTCAAAATTCAGAGGGCACAACATGAAAGCGTGGGTGAAATTTGATTTTTTCTTGCTATAAAACTTTTGGTCATTTTTTCCAGATCACTTGTAATATTCATCAATAATGAAATAGACTTTTGGAATCACTGGAATCTATTTCAATTGAGGATTTCCATGAATTTTTTAAAATTCCTCTCAAATGCATTTAAAATATTCCCTGGTACGGTACAGATGATACAAAATATTCCACACCTCAACAAGTGCGTCATCACAGACTAATAAAAGCCGATTTACGTAACAATTTGCTGAGAAAGCTAAAAGTGCTCTGCTAGGATTGCTGGAAACGCTTCTCAATCAGAACACTCGACCCATTACAAAAATCATGATTAAAAATGGGGATAACTCTGGCTATTTACAGCAGCAATGACCTGAGGAGGTGGATTTTAGTTCAAGTTCTCTAAGACTGAGACAAAGAGTGGTTAAGGATGTACAAAGTCACACCAGTGCGACTGGGCCGGTGGTCAACCATGCATGACGAATAGCCGAATAAAGGAAAACATGATCAGTGGGGAGACCATCCTCCACACCTACCCCCACATCAACTAAAGCCCCTTAGGACATAGCAATGGGGATATTATCACACTACCACAGCTCCTTGAAACAACATTGATGGGGGATACCATCACACTACCACAGCTCCTTGAAACAACATTGATGGGGGATACCATCACACTACCACAGCTCCTTGAAACAACATTGATGGGGGATACCATCACATGACTACAGCTCCCTAGAGAATAATGGGGATATCATAGATGTATTTTATGGTCGAATAAAAAGACAAAAATTAAAGATGGCATCAGCTGTGTCTACAACATCTAAACTAGCAGGAGCAGAGAAAATATCAACTACTGTATATCAGGGCTGTGGCATCCAGTT